AGCTCCTCCAGCCAATGAGCGCAGAATCCCCCTCTCCCTCAGTTCTCTTTTGTTGTGGAGGGATCTACACTCTGATATCAATTAAAGTAAAAAAAACCATAAGCGGGTGGGAATTTTGTTGCTTTAAGTCAACATTGCAACAACCCAGTACATTACTTCATGATGCACTACCTACCAACTCTAAGTACAGTCCTTTAGCTTCAAGCATCAAAAATGAATGCTGTATCTCAAAAAACAAAACAAAATTATGCTTGTTGAAAGTTGGAAAGACTTTAAACACAATTTTCTCGGTTTCAAATTTTGGCACGAGTAACCCTTACAATGAGGGTAGCACTATAATATTAAAGTTGGGATATTTAAGAATGTCATTTCCAAAATTCTACATTTGTGGATGTCCCAGAAACCTAGCGATTATTGAGGTAATATTGTACAGGAAGTCCTCGATATAGCAAGTTCAGCATGTGAAGACACTATTCCTACCAACAATTCAATTACTATGAGCAAAATTAAGCCTTATATGAGATGTCATCCTCCCTGACATAGCTTCCAACCCTGATGACTCTGCAGATGTCACTCCAACACCATCACCCACTATGCAAAACCTCTACCATCACCTCCATTATCTTATCTACCCAAACTGATGTATCTGTTTTTATTGTTAAGTAAACTGTACAGTACGCCCGGATAATTCACGGATTTTCATTTCGTGGTCCTCTATTATTCGTGGATGACACCTTGGATGTACCCAAGAATGTCTGCAGGCAGTTTTAAAGTTGCCGGCATTTTCGCGGCCGGTACGGGGGAGCGCACGAGTTTTGTGGCATCCCACAAGGTGTCTCTTTTGTCCCGGAAGGCTGGCCCACGCGCGCCCTGCTCCCTCCGCCACAGTCCGGGCTAAACATTTGCACATCTCGCTCATGTGCTACTCTTCTCTCATAATAACTGTGCTCCTCGTGCTTGTTATGGCTCCCAAACGACCTCAATCACCATCATTATCATTCATCGTGATATTCGTCGGTGGCAGGGGAGATGAAAATGGGATCTACAGAAACAGCCAGCATGAGTGTTAATCTATTTCTTTATAACAGTTGTTTTTTATTATGTTATTGTAGGAAAATGAACGATTTATATAATTTGTTTATCACTGAACCCGAACCATTTTCATAGTAGACTACAAAATAGGATTTTCTTCCATAGGTACACCTAGCATTTCCCATACATACTGTACGTCTGGCAACGGGAGCGGGTAAGGGGAGTGGAGTGACTGCTAGTTAGCGCGTCATCTGCAGTTGTAACTCTCCTCGCTCCCTGCCATATTTCACTGGATTTACTGTTATTAATAGTGTTTACTGATAAAATAGTGCTTAACAGTGATTAATCATGTCATTGTAGCCAGGTTAGCTCAACATTGTAACCACCAGGCTACTGGGCCAAGCTTTGAGGTGTTATGGTTTTTCAACTCGTATTTTTGGGAAGATATAAGTAACCTTCATATATTTTTACTCATTTACATGCACACACCATCTTACATACTTATTGTGAAAAAGTACTGTATTACACCACAATTACAGTATCAGCCCAGCTGGTGCTGGCATTGTATGGCAACTCGACCAACTCAACTGTAATAACAAACACGGAGTTGACTCGAGGGTAGACTTGCATTTTTTTCTATATTACACTTTATTGTCGTGTTTCTTATTACGGTATTTGTGAAAGGATTTCCCCATTATTATTTATTTGTATGCATTTTAATATTAATAACAATTAATGGTTTATTGAATGAGCATGGTCATCGGAAGGCTGAAAATATACAGTTACATAATAGGGGAAAAGGTCACTTGATTGACAAATAACAGAAGTGATACACATATGATATATAAGTAAGTGGGGAGAAAGTTATATTACAGTGCATTTCAACATTGTAACAGTGCAAAAGGGTATGACTGGATGGGAGTGAATACATACACTGGTTCATTACAAGTTGTTGATAACTTTTATAATGGTTGGGACTGGGCTGTTCTTATAGCAAATGTTATTTGTGGATTTGGCAATTCGCGGCCATTTTGAGAACCTGACCCCCTTAAATTAGAAGGGCCTACTGTACTGTACACTTGCTTTATCTATTACTTTAAAAATAATATTGTATTAATAAGTTTCATGGTTTATTTGTCTTGAAAATGGGTCTGGAACATTTTAATTTTCTGTTATGGAAAGCATCAGATTTTTCCCTGTTTAACCAAGTATTCGTTATATACAATTTCAGTTTATACGAGGGTTTTCAGGAACGCATCCCTCGCATATACTGAGGACTTACTTTACATGTTTATAATTGGGTAAGCATTTATATAAATACGGTCAGCATGCATAGACAATGTAAGTGAACAGTGCATGTATGCAGTGGGAGTACAGTATATAGTTTCCTATGTGCCTAGAGTAGACAGTGTAAGTACAGTAAAAAAGAAACTCCATTCAATGGATACAGACTCTTACATGGCAGTTTCACATCTAATGGTCCTCGATATAACAGATTGTGCTCTCCCATATACAGATAAATGGTCCCATACCTGTATAGTAATTGTATACTGTATACATTGTGTGTACTATGTTCAACAATTACCTATGGAAGGGTCACTTCCAGTTTATGGATAATTCGGCTTACAGATAGCCTCCAGGAACGGAACCCATCCGTAACCCAAAAAGTGTCTGTAGTCTGTTATATGGAGGTTTCACATACTGTATAATGAACCTCGATAAAATGGACGACCCTCCCATATAGTCTGTTATGTGGAGGTCTCACTGTATACAACAATAGTAAACAGTAAGACAATTTTATCAAGGACAGCCAACAAAGCTGTCAGATGCTTACTTCCAGAGGGACCTTTGCTTAAGCTGTAAATAGTGATAGTATATCTATAGGCATAATAGTTCAAAGTTGTTGTTTATAAATTCGACAAGAATTACATTGCACTTGGGCTGTCTGAGGCTGGCGGGTTACTTCAACAATACAACATTCTGCGGTTCAAAATATAGAAACTCACTCTCTTCTCTTGCTGTAGCATATTCGTAATTTACAATTCATTTTCATTAATCAACAGTCCTTCAGCTGATACTGTACCCATACCAAACCATACAGTAACACCAACAATGATATTTTATGGTAGAGGGAGGAATGACTCCCTTGTTGTAGTTATAGAGAAGAGCAAATGATCTGAACAGACTGCACCATGAGATCTAACTGGACTGGGCAGTCTACCAATACCACACAATAGGATTTCAGTTATTCATTACAACTTTCTCATGTGGAAGAAAGATCATAAACTACTCATCTGTTGGACCGAACCTTTGAACCTAGTAGTGATTATCTGTAACGTTAGCTTGAACCTAGGGTCCAGAATACGAGGATGTGTGCGGTCTTTCTCAGACCCCTGCTATTATCAGACACCATGTGAGTGATTCTCCATTTTTTCTGTGTAATTAGTACTATGAGTTCAAATGACCATGAATTTGTGGAGTGCCAAAGTCTTCACCTACTCCCATGACTACAGTACATGCAGTGGCACAGTATTCACAAGTACAAGTATATCTTTTGACACCAGAATCACTAAAAATGTGTGGGTGGTTACGGAGTAATGATAAAAACAACGTACACCAAATTTAACCTAGATTATCTCAAAACTTGATTTTTATGCACACGTCGGCATTTCACCAAGCGCCTCAGCTACAGGAATCTCCTCGTGATGTGGGAGAGTAATCTGGGTTATCCATTCATGACAAAGGCTACAAAAAGAGATTTCAAGCATTGAAGAAAGATTCCCTCTTTTGCCCTGGTAAGACTTACCAGTACAGGTTGACAATCCCTTATCCGAAATCCTTGGGACCAGAGGCATTTCGGAATTTTTCGGTTTTCAGAATGGTTAGTTTTTTTCTTTTTTTTTGTGTATTAGCCCATCCGGGCACAAGTCACTGAGCCCACATTGGAGCCTGGGGGGGAAAATATAATAATATTTATAATAATAATAATAATAATAATAATAATACAGGTAATAATAATAATTCATAGGTCTAGGTCGTGTTACTCACTTTATATTTTTTTTTCATTCTTGTATTTCTTTATTATTATTATTATTTTATTAAAACAGTATTATTGTTATCATTATTATTTTATTTTGGTGTATTTTTTAATTAAAACTTTTATTTACTATGAATAATTATTATTATAATTATTATTATTAATATTATTATAATTAGTATTACTATTACATTTTCACCCCCCAGGCCCCGATGTGGGTCAGTGATCTATGCCTGGGTGGGCTAATACCTGTTAAAAAAAAAAAAAAAAAAAAAAAACTTGCTCCACAAAAAACTTTCGGTTTTCAGAGCTTTTCGGTTTTCGGAATTTCGGATAAAGGGTTGTCAACCTGTATATACAAACCAAGAGAGCCTGTAAAAATGGCAAAATGTCCAGTATCAAGATAAGAAGACCAATGTGCCAGTTCCAATAACTCCAAGATTAACAATGATCTGAATGCACAACTACACACTAGTCAGCAATATACTTCTTACCGTAAGCTTGATCAGGAACCACAGTGACCCCTAATTTGGCATCAAAATACACCTTGAAACAAGAGAACAGTACAGTAAACTCTCAGTATAACAAGCACTGTATACAATATAATGGAACCCAGTTTTAACAGACACCCTGAACCTAATGAAAAAACCCTCAAGATAACAGAGAGGTGAACGTTATCCTGGGGGTTTACTGTGCTCTAAACTTCTTTATTGTTTCAAAGTTGACAGCAAATACAGTACATAATGTTACAAACTTTCAAGAGTTCTCAAAAAAAGAAATGAAAGGATGTTTTTCTATTTTACTTTCTTATGTAACTCAAGAGCAGTACAAAAAATAAGAGAAGAAATTGTATTCTCCTATACATTAACGAAAGAAAAACGTCTAGCACAAATAATGAATTTCCATCAACACAAAATATAATAATACTCACCATTTCAGCAGTCCAGAAGTCAACCCCCATTGATCCTTCATATTTGCCAACCTTTAGGGCTGTATGGGTCTCTATAGCAAGAGCCTGCTGATGAACCAGAGGAACAGTGTTTACTATGAACACTGTACGCTTTCCACCTTTGGAGAACGGCTCACGGATCTGAAAAAAAAAAGCATACTGTATACAGTATAAAGACAAGTACTGCATAGACATTATGTATTAGGGTGTCTACTACAGCTGCGGTCACATCAGAGTTTAACGTGCAATAAATCTACGAAAGCATTTCATCCACAGGCAATTGGACAATGGTACAATCTGCACACTGGTTACACTGGCGAAAGGTACCATTGGCCAGGCACCCAATTTGCGTGGCTAGTTGGAGCTCAGTTGGAGAGCAGGATGGCTTCATTGTATGTTTCTATGGCAGCATTAACCACTTTAGTGAGATGTGTGGTCCTGTTAAAGACCAAGACGAAAAAGAAACGATTGTAGTGTCTAAGCGATGATTGTTTATGAGTGACACAAGTACTCTAGAGTCAAATGAAATTCCCGTCGTTATGTATTCTTATTACAGTCGACCCTCGTTAATTCAGACCCCTTTAATCCGGATTTTGGATAATTCGGACCAAATCTGATTTTTTTTTAGATTTGTAGGAATATTACCTATGCAGACCTTAAGCTAAAATGCTGGTCCACCCACTGCTGGGATAAAACACCAGCGTCTTTTTGGTTAAATGTAACATCTCCACCACTAGTGTGGGGGGGGATGCAACTTTTAGCTTCAGACATGAAAAATATTTACCATTTACTGCCAGTAAACAATGGAAAATTAAAATATGTACCAATTAGTAATGAAAAGTTGTGCAGTTCCTTCAACAAATGAAGCTCACCAACTTACAATAGACTAAATTACCTTACAACGTGTTTTCAGTCGTCTATGTTGAAGTTCTTAGCACAGGCTAACTTATCATATCATATACGGTATCACGGTCAGGGCTGTGGAGTCGGAGTCGGAGTCGAGGAGTCGGAGGAAATTTCGGCTTGTGGAGTCGGAGTCGGAGTCGGTAAAATTGTCCAGGCTCCGACTCCGACTCAAGCTATTCTGTTCCTAAGAACAAATATATGAACTCAGGCATATTCATTGCAGTGATTCCACTGATCCCACTAATTTTCTTAAATTATTAAAAGAATTTATTTCCATTTTATAAGCATTATTATGAATTTATTGTAGCAGGCACAGTATAGCACTATAATTTTGGACGATAGTCTCTTCTTTACCATTTGAAATTTTGAATTATATCAAATTTTGTTTCGTTGAAAACTGCACAGAGGCTCTCAGCTACAAAACAATTAGCTACAACCTGTTTTTGGTGAGATTAAGGCAAATTTAATTTAATAACTTAGTCATGTAAGGTTTATCCATTTTCCTTAATAAGGTATTCATTTCTTTAATGTACATAAATATATAACTTTACTTTAAAAGGAATTGTAGGATCATCATTTAGATCCACATCAGATTATGAGCTTAAACAAAATTCATATGCTGAGATCGAACTTTTAGATATACATGTAAATGGTGTTTTCTAGTTAATATCTTGAATTCTTAATAAATTTATTTTTCTTTTGATTGAAACTTTGAAAGTCAAGCCTATCATCTTTTTGTAGTTCTTAAATATCGTCCAGATCATTACTAAAGCTGTAGCAGTATAGCCACGGTGTTTTACTTTTTACCTATGCAGGTTACAACATACAAATTACAATTAGGATGGTAGAAATAGTTGTTACAAATAGGCCAAGGAGTCGGAGTCGGAAGCATAAAAATTTGAGGAGTCGGAGTCGAAGGTTTTGTCTTCGACTCCACAGCCCTGATCACGGTTCTCATTGATCTCCAAAAAATACCGGTAATAAAAACTGTAGGTTATGTATCTAAGCTACTGTGCCGAGTAGCAACCTTGTATATAATTACGTGGCAACACTGCACATGTTATGTGGCAACATTGCCCCGAGGCTGCCATATGGCAAGGCAGTCTCAGTCTGACTCCGTGCCTCATGCATGGCACACGCTAGTCACCACTTGTATTTCTCCTATCCGTTAATAGATGGACTTCAGTGTTACCCGGTGTTTCCCTACCCATCACTGCCTTCTTCAGGGAACACTTGGAACCTTCATGTTTTGCCGCGACATGCAGTGTTGCGCCGTCACAGTGCGTTCTAGTGACGGCGGCAGTGTTAGTGTCAGTGTATTAGTGTGTCTAGAGCTGAGAGTTGAGCATTGGCCTCTTTTTTGTGGTACCCACGGAGCACGCAGGCGTACACCCTTCTCGTGTGACATCCGGGGAGACACTGACGGTCTTGCCTCCGCGAGCCACCACCAAGCTCTGCTTTCTGAGACACACACACGCACGTACTCACGGACAGAACAGTGGACTCTATGCGTTATTTCTGTACTGTTTATGTCATATATATGTGGTTCGAGCTGATAAGCCGCCACTTTATATACTAAACAACGCAGTTCAAGCATACTAAGATGGGCGGTAAGAAGGGACAACGTCAAGATGGAAGACACGACTCCCCACCACCATCCCCTCCACCGGGCGCAGACTCTCATCCTCCACCTCCAGCGACGGACATTGCCACAATTCTGAGGTGGATGGACGACAGACGCAGAGAAATGGAACTTCAGAGGGAGGAGACACGAAGAGAGGAGGAAAAGTCGTGTTTTGATGCACTATTGGCGACCCTGGCGCTAACCCACGCTAACCCGGTAATCTACTTCAACCTCCTATTGTTTACAACAACGCATGACGCACCACCAGCTGTTGAGTATCAGCTAGACGGTACACGTGTTTTTCGAATTGTTTTCAGTTGAAAAACTGTTACATCACATGTATATTTTACCTTAACTGTGCCTGAATGAATATATTCTGGGAAATAAATAGTAGTTTTACTGAAACGTGATGTATTTTAATGTAAAATAGGATAAAATACATGACGAAAACAAAAGATTTTACCTAACCTTCCGATGTTCAAGAGAAGTTACTCGTTTTTATAATAGTTTTTGGTTAAAATACTGCTATATTAAAATGGTATTCTATTCATACTGTGCTTGATATAATGCATTCACGGAAATGTAATATTTTTGCTGAAATGACGTACGTATTACAGTGGAAAGTGGGATAAAATCGTGACGAAAACAATGACTTTCGCTTTCTTTCGTTCAAAAGATGTTACCGTAATCGCTTTTCGATTGGTTTTCAGTTAAAAAATTTTTATTACAATAATATTCTATCCTAATTGACTTGAATAAATACTACGATACCATATTTCTGAATATTTTCATTAAAATCCATCCAAATCATTTTCCTTGTCATCGTCTGCAGCACCAAACAGCTTCTCCCAGTCCTCTCCTTGAACAAGGCTAGACGGTACACGTGTTTTTCGAATCGTTTTCAGTTAAAAAACTGTTACATCACATGTATATTTTACCTAAACTGCGCCTGAATGAATATATTCTCGGAAATAAATAGTAGTTTTGCTGAAACGTGATGTATTTCAATGTAAAATAGGATAAAATACATGACGAAACAAAAGACCTTACCTAAGCTTCCGATGTTCTTGAGATGTTATTCGTTTTTTTAATAGTTTTCGGTTAAAATACTGTTATATTACAATGGTATTCTATTCATACTGTGCTTGATAAAATACATTCACGGAAATGTAATATTTTTGCTGAAATTACGTACGTATTACAGTGGAAAGTGGGATGAAATCGTGACGAAAACACTGACTCGCTTTCTTTCGTTCAAAAGATGTTACCGTAATCGCTTTTCGAATGGTTTAGTTAAAAAACTGTTGTATTACAATAATATTCCCTCCTAATTGACGCGAATAAATACTTGAATGGAAATATACAATATTTTTGTTGAAACTACCCGCGTTTCAGTGTAAAGTGTCGTAATAATAAATGGTAAACAATTTGCCTTTGGCACTCGGTGTTTCAGACACAGCGAGCCTCAGTTTATAGGACGTAGAGCGTTTTTACTGAAGGTTTTGTTGTTCCATTACCCTCAACGTGGGTCGACCTATAAACGAGGAATATCATAAATTAACGATTTCTTGGTCAAAAAATCAGGGTCGACCTATAAACGAGGGGGGGGGGTTATAGACGAGTTATACGGTATGCAAGGCTAAGGACAAACTCACTGCATTTTCTTTGAAATATAATTCAAAATTAACCCCTAAATCGGTTAATTCGGACAATCGGCTAAAACAGACACCCTTCCCCCCCTATTAGTCCAAATTAACGAGGGTCGACTGTACTGTATTATTATTTGTTATCTACTATGACATTTTTGCTTGAATTTTGTTATTAAAATACACTTTTCATATATTTTGTACATTTTAACATTAATTAGAAAAATGTGAACGGTGTAAATTTCATTAATACAATAGGCACTCTATACCAAATGTCAACCAACTGTACCATGGATTTTCAGATGCTCTGTATCGTCCCACTTTTGACAACAAATAAGTTGCTGCTGTAGAGACAACATGAGGAGTTCATTGAAAAATCAATGCTATTGTGATTTATTCTGGGTAAAAACCATAGTGTGACCACAGCTAAGTGGTATTGTCAATAACTGACCAGGGAGTATTGACGTCTTTTAGGGAAGAATATACAGACATCCTTAGAGTTAAAGGAGGTACACCAGTAATACTTATGTTGTTTCAATCAATATGCAGTGAGCCACCATCATCGTCTTATAGCTATTTTTCATGCTTGCATGGGTTAGCTGTCACTAACTGATGGCACGGTGTCTGGGTTGCATCTGGATACCCTTCAGATCATCAAACCACCTTTACAGAGTGGGACCTGGACATATTACTTTATACTGTATTGGACTTCTAAGTGCACTTTTAGCTAGTGAAGATAGAGAGAATGTATATTGTAAGATTTTCACTTGACAGAATTCTTACCTGATCAGAAAGTTCTTTGATAAGTAGAATGGAGATGAAAGTTTTTCCAGATCCTGTGCCAAGAACAAGGATAGAGTTCTGTTTCTTTGCATGTTCAAACAGCTCTACCTGGTAGGGTCTGGCAGTGAAGTTGACATCACATTCCTGTCAAAGTAGTATACAAAATATAAACTTCTAAAACTGTAAAAAGGAGACACTACTGTGAATACAATACAGTAAATCCTTGATAATTCAGATCCCTATTATCCAGATTTTGGTTAATCCAGACAGAAGCCGCTCGACCTGTAACTGTTCAGATTCCCTTTGTGTTTCTCCTGCCACATACAGTCCCACACCCCTGAGTCTTCACACAATACCTGTGTTGGTTACATCGCCTGTTATGTTGCTGCCCAAATATTAATTTCTAGCATCCCAAACTCTTTTATTTTAAGCTGTTATAATGGTATCTATGAAAAGTATCACTGTTTAAGATACAAAAACATTTTATTCCTTAGCACATAAAACAATATTTCAAGCCCCGTCCTCCCTCAAGATTGAAGCCTATGTCACCAACACAGCCTTCATCAGCATCGTGCGAACAGCCTGGGAAGTGTTTTGGATATCAGCAATGTAACATCAGAATCACCATTGCAGATACTTGAATGATTCTGAATGACAGCCACACCTCTACACTGCTATACACCTAATTGTATGCAACTTCTATTAATCTGCAAATTAGTTGACATAATGGATGGAGGATTCTGACAACACTAACAAGACAACAGGAGTCACAGTGTTCATTGTGAAATTGATCGATCCTGTCCATGAAGATACTTTTGGAGTGGGTGTACATAAAACATGAATACAGGTATCTAGGTTATGCAAACATAAAATAACAAAGTCAAAGACTAAAACTGTACTTTAATGTACTCTATATGATAAGTACAAGAGCCATGGTATGAGAACATGTCTCAGTGTCCAGAAAAGATCATTAAAAATGTTACCATAACTTACTTGATTTTCTGTGGCACCACTTGCATCACTCCCTTCAGGGTCTTCACAATATGTTTCTTCCATGAAGATGGCTGCATCGAATAAAAAAAAATTAATAATCTTGGTTAACGTATTAGGAAGAGGTGCTACATCTAAGTTTAAAATATATATATATATATATATATATATATATATATATATATATATATATATATATATATATATATATATATATATATATATATATATATATATATATATATATATATATATATATATATATATATATATATATATATATATATATATATATATATATATATATATATATATATATATATATATATATATATATATATATATATATATATATATATATATATATATATATATATATATATATATATATATGGTACAGGTGGTACAGGTGGAGGAGACTGTTAGCACTAGAAAAATCTTATGGAATTAAACCAAAATTTCTGGACACACTATTTGATGATAACAAACACAGATATGGAAGCAAGAATGCACAGAACCCATTAGAACCTGACCTCCTGACCTGTGCATTGTCATTTCAATTTCATTACTGACAATCTTCCAAACATCTTTAGAAATAATGAATGATTTGTATCCAATATTAATTGTAATAAACATGACCCATGAGATCATCCTTCATTTCTTGACATGTAAACAAAGACCACAGACACTCACACAATGTGGACCAAAACATGGCCACCATGGTAAATATTTTAGATAAAGTCTCAAAACACTGCCACCACCACAAGAGTTGTTCCAGTTTGTTCATTTTTTCCACATATGTTCTTATCATTATACTGTACTGTACTGTATTTAGTATTTTAAAAGATAAAAACTCTTTTATTTTAACTAAAAGTATTTTTATTTGTTTATTTTTTAGTTTTCTATACGCTGTATCTATGATCTACGTAGTGGGCAGAGCACAAAGGATGAGGAAAAATGTGACGTAAAACACGGCAAAAGGCGATCATTTGACGGTAAGTGTTGTTTGTGTGTCGTTTATGTGAAGAAATAAATTATTTACCATAAGTACTCCTCCAAAAAATCTGCTGAGTCAGCATGTCTTGTCGTCTGCCCTATTTATTTACAACCGACCCACTCAGTCCGAGTGTACACTCACATACACAAAAAATTTAAAATTACACCATGACGCTTCAACAAAGTTGATTTCATTAGTATCAGATCTCAAAATAAGTAATTTATGTTTAATATGATGGGGGGTCAGCCCCCTGATTAGGAAGTTAGGTAAGGTTAGTAACATAAGAATGGAGGAAACTGCAGCGGGCCTATTGGCCCATGCTGAGCAGTCCCATTTACACCCAACCCCTATTGCTCATATATCCATCCAACCTATGTTTGAAGCTATCCAGCATTTTCGAGTTAATGATGATATTTGGTAACCTGATCCACTCGTCCACTACTCTATTTCCAAACCACTGTTTACCTATTTCACGCCTAAATCTAAATTTGTCCAATTTAAAACCATTGTTACGAGTTCGCTCCTGGTTGGATAGTTTGAGTACCTTTGTAATGTCCCATTTGTTCAGCCCTGACTTCCATTTATTCACATCTAAAGGAAGGTTTCTTTGGTTGGTTAGGTCAGGTTCTATTAGGTTCGAGTAATTGTTGCCCCTTTTTAAATAATTATTATTATATTATAATAAGAAAATATGTGGAGAAAATTAATGAAATCTAACAACTCCTTCTGGTGGTAACGGTGTTCTCATAAATTACCTACAGCTGTTGTCAGACATTACCATAGAAATTTTATTTCTTCCCCTACAAAGAATGTGGACGTGAAATTACTGGCATATGATGATCACTGTTCACAATGTTTTTATCCCATTATTTCATTGTTCTTTCATGCCCTGCCAACTAATTAGTACTCCTCCACTTTCACCACTATTAAATTACCATGAAAAACATAAGAAAAGCCTATTAAGGTTATTAATTTCCCAGTATCGTCACTAATGTATCATTCTCCCCCCTCCTTTTTTTTTCAAGAGATAAGACGGTAAATTTGCATTGTCACACCGTTCTCTGTTAGAAAGTCAAAAATAAATTTTCTAGTGTATTTGTGTGTGCTTAGACCGAATATGACCTTCATTTCTGGGGGAAATTAGCCGGGTTTTTTTCAATTTTTTTTTCGTTGGACATTTTCCGAAAAAAATCATGGCAAAAATACACAAAAAACAAAAAACACTAGAAAAACAAAAAACTAACCTTATGATGGAATCATTTATTTCTTACCGTATTGGCCTGGTTCTTGTTCGTCGTTACATTCTGGGATTCTTACCCAACGCCACATATGTTGGTCTTTGCGATATTTACATTGTCTTGCTCTTAGTACACTTTACTGAGGTTGGAAGAACACCATGCGATCGAAAAAATGCTATAGTTTCTACGTTTTTTTCCAAAAACTCGCTATCAGCTCCATATACTTTAAGTGACACCTATCGCAGACTTCCATGGTCGGAACTGAACTTGAATTTCAAAATATGAGACCCAAAATGATACTCGAATTTGATTGGGCCAAAAATACTGCAAATTAAACCCAAAATCATTTTAATTGGTTTCAAAATAAAAAGGCTTTTGATTGGCCGTGTGACGTGTACGGGAACGCATGAGCGTGATGATTTATGAAGTAGACACGAGACACTCAGTGTTGGAGGAGAGGCAGACGATAATGGCGGGAGGTTAATGGAAGAAAATAGAAATTTTTTTGGAAAAGCGATCTCCGTTATTATACATTTCCGCCGGTAATGTAATAGATGAATATTATCTTATAATTAGACGTCTTATTTAAATATGATAATAGATTAGTGGTAGGAATGAACGGTAGTGTAAACGCAACAATACCGATAAGACACCATTTATATTCTAGTTTAATTTCAAGCTGTGGGGTTAAAGAACTTAAGAGGAACAACTGCTGAGAAGTATTACCCCACAAAGCTCTGCCAGCACTGGTTGCTTTGCTCCTGTTATATTAAAACATAGTTCAATAAAGGTTTACTAACAGTGGTGAAGGGGTGTAGGTAGTAGTACAGATGGACTAACGAATGGTAGTGTTAATGAAGCCAACGCAAAATTTTCACGACTCGAGTGTGTTCTTAATATGGAAATTACTACTAAAATTATACTTCCTAATAATAAAGCATGACGAAAAACCAATACAGTATGGATAATGCCACTTGTATTACATATTACCTAAGGACTAGGTAATACAGTCCACTTACTTGGAGAGTGTGTTATCAGTTACTGTTCACCGCCGTGTGCTATGACTCACTTCTTGACATCCACTGTGTCTTCCACCACATGACAACAGTGACAGTGGCTTTTAATTATATTTATGATACACAGCGGCCGCCAGGAAGTACCTATATGGTGGAACCTTTTAAACAAAGTTAAACGTACGTGCTGGTGGCGAGCGCTGCCGCCGTCTAACGTCAACACTGCGTTTCAATTCCTTCATTAAATTTATGTACTGTATATACGTTTACAAGATGCTGTATTATTGAAATATTTGTTAGCTTGAGTTCAATAAAAAGCTAAAACATAACACTAAGTAAAATTTTTTAATAATTATCAGTTTTAGATCAGTCGAAAATAAGATTGTTTTGTGGTAAATTTGATCTACCCGAGGAATCGAAGGAAGCTCACGCCATGGTAGACTGACAGGTCGTGGACGTGTTACTTCAATATTACCTTCAGTAACTTACACGTACTAGTCCACATATCTCTGTATGTATGTATATGTAAACTGTAAATTTCTAACTAAAAGATAAAAAAAAGTCCATATCGTGCGGAATATTCACTTTTACACTCTGAACCTAAACTTTCGGTATTATTGTACTTTCTGACAACATGGAACCTTAGGAATTTTTCGAAATATTCAATAGATTAGACCATTCTAGACACTTCCATGACCTTTTCCTCACGGGGCCCCCGGTTGGGAGATTAGGTTAGGTTAGGTAATTTTTAGGTTGTCCGAAAGTAAAACTTTCATCAAACATTTGCAATTTAATGAATGTAGACTGACTGTGTATTGTAACGCGTGTATCCAAGAAATAATAGGGGAAGAAACTATTACTCCCTCATATAAGTGTAGATTTATATAAGCTTTTACTTGTATATTCTTAATTTCTTTCTACAAACCACTGATGATCCTGTTACCAACACCTCTTCCCAGTGGCGGCTCGTGAAAAATAAAATGGAGGGACTGCAAGCCTCACACAACAGTAGGATACACAAATTTGACCTACCTCAGGTATGAGTTGTAGTTGATGTCCACGAATTCCCAGGGCATGGTAGTAGTGTTGGTGGTAGAAGGGATGGCCGAGGTGGTGATGGACCAGTATTAATTGAAAATAAAGTCGGCGTGTCTGCTCTTCGATGTAGCAAAATTGTTTATTACTATTTCATTAAAATCCTTTATTTCTGTTATCATTTTATTTTCAATGGATATCACTGCTAAAGCAGACAGTCTGTCATTCACCATGGTACTGCGCAAAAAAGTTTTAATTCTCTTCAAAGTTGAAAAGCACCTTTCTGCTTCTGCCGTTGTCATTGGAGTTGTTATTAAAATTTTCAGCAACTTGAGTGTCTGAAAATGTTGACTGTAGATTATTGTCATTCATCATCTCCAACAAGTCTATGAGACTTTCTGATTTACACAAACCTTCTCTTGTGTACAGTACAGTAAGTTCAGTTCTCAATTTGTCTTTTTCAAGCATGGGATATGCTGCAACTGCTTGTTCAAGTTCATTACTCGGGAAATTTTTGGCATACACTGGAAAATTATTCACTAAAAGTAACTTGCTTGCTTCCAAATGATTAGTAAAGCTGAATCTCTCTCTGCACTGCAGCAAAATTACGTCACAGACCTCCTTTGCAGCAGCTAATTTGTCTGTTTTAAATTTTCTTCTTTTCTGCTCAGGAGGCAACAGCAACACCATCGCATCACATTCGTCTCTTAACTTCTGAACTGCGGAATTAAAAACTTTTAAAGAGGCGTTAGCCTTAGCTGCATCAATATTTCTAGACTGAAGCTGAGAGAACATGATGTCAACATGAGGCATTACTTTGGAGAAAAATTCCAACCAAAATTCGAATTCAGGATCATTCACAATTCTTTTGATACCAGCTGCTGCAGATCCAGTTTCTCTTGAGTTAGATGCTTCCAGTGTGCTGCAACATTCAATCAGTGCATCTTTCATTTCATGCACAGCATTGACTGTTCTGCTCTTGAAATTCCAACGTGTTGCAGATGGCCTTGGAATTCGATGACCAGCAACATTCTCCAATGCAGCCATTCTTTGTGGAGACTTAGAAAAAAATGCTGGTATTCCTGACAAGCTATTGAAAAATACACGAACATTGGTATTCTGTGATGTTGCCTTTCCCAAAATCAAGTTCAGTTGGTGGGCATAACAGTGGATAAAGTGGGCATTGATATACACTTCTTTTATTCTGGTTTGCACACCTTTATTGACTCCACTTAGAGCAGCTGCACCATCATAAGTTTGGGCAATGAGCTTGTGTGGACAATCACCAATTAAAGTCTGGAGCTCTTTATGAAACACACTTGATAAGGCTTCTGCTGTCTGATTGATAGGGTTAAAAAATCCCCAGAATCTCTCAACAGGCTTCCCTTGTAGCTCATACCTTAGAACAATTACCATCTGTGTGTTATCGTAAATATCCGTTGTCTCATCACACATAACTGCCAAATAATCTGCATTCTTTACTTCTTCCTTGATCTTATTTTTGCAAATTTCCAACATTGATTCTAAAAGTTCATTCTGTATTGATTTAGATGTTCCTTTAAAAACTGTAGCGGTCTTTAAATGAGCATCTAAGCTAGAATCCAGTTCACAAGCAAAATCAACTAATCCACGAAATACTCCCGGATTCTTAGAGCTCATTGTTTCATCATGTCCTCTAAGAGGGAGTTCAAATTTTCCACAAAATTTTACACAGTTTATGATTTTGGATAACATCTCTGTTTTTTTTCACCTGTTCATTGTGTTTTGCAACTGAGAGCTTGTATGCTGTGTCAATCTGAGCTGCAATGTTCACTTTACCCAGCAACGATTAATTAATCATGTTATTCATATGTTTGGCTAACTGCTCATGTTTCACTATTTTCTGTGGCAAATGCCTCAAGTCAGTCACACCACTTTTCGTCCATGCCGAGTCCCTATGAGGGCACTGAGCTGCCACCATTTATGAGGGCTGCTACTGCCACCCTTCATGAGGGCCTGTGTGCCAGTAACAATTCCTTTTACTCTTATATATCACCATTGGTAGCGTGACGATAGGAGGCTCGTGGGTAGGTGTAATGATAGTATCAAGCAATAGGGAAGAAATAACGGTAAATACTGTAGGTAAATAATATACACAATTATACAAATACAAAGTTTATTTAAACATGAATATGAAATTAGAAGAAAGAATTGGTTTGTACTAACAGACGAAATCTCGTACTAGGCCCTCAGGCACAACATCCTCACACCATTACTGGGTGGACATAATCAATACACTTCCAACCCTACTGGGTGGACATGCTCAATAGCACAACTAGGATAGTCACTTAGCACCATACATATTAGAGCAACTGCCACTACAACACTCAGTCGTCAGGAGTGATACTCAAGCAACAGCCATGGGGTCCAGCCACCATGGAGTACTATCCGACGAACTCTGGAGATCCCAGTGGGTTAATTCCACCACACAAATATAGCCCTACTGAGGTAGACACTCATCCACCAATGATGGGGGCTGGTAGTGGTGTGTGGCTTGGTGGTCCGGGGTCACCTCGTGGACCGAGCGTTAGGGCCAGACGAGCCAGCTATGGGGGCTATAGGTGGTCTGAAGTGTCTGACGGCCGGGTCTCACGAAGGTAACTGATCCTACTGGACCTCGGACATGTCCCCAGACATAGTGGATACAACATCCACCCTACAGACACGGCCTAGGCTGCGTTAGGGACCTGTATGGATGAAGGGACGGGCACTTACTAACTGGTGACAACAACAACACGTTTCAGGGGACGTTAAAGACGTAAATATGACTTTACTCAGAACATATCAACTACGTTACTGTAACACTTGCACAATCAACTATTAATTGGGTCAAATCACTTAAAGAAGGGCAATTACAACACAGCGTGGAATGGCATACCTGTATGGATGAAGGGACGGGCACTTACTAACGGTTAAAATGCCCGCGTGCCCTCACTCAAACCAGACCAGGGAGTCCAGCTACTCCTATTCCAATGAATTAATTTACGGTACCCTCTGACGTTGAAATTGAGCCTATGAACTCATTTTCATTCTCTACTATTATCTTCACTAACAATGCTCTGACTCAGCTATCGAAAGCAGAATTAAATTGATTACAAAGGAATGGATGGCAACAGGTCCCAGCATACAGCGTCTGCTCCCATAGACAAAGGCGGGGGAAACAGAGAAAACGGGGGACGTTTCCACTGGGGACTCGGAAGGTTTTGTGGACGTTTGAGCGTAATATGAATCCTTAAGGTTTTCAGGTTAGCTCTTATCATGACCATTACATCCCCACCAAACAATAAGCATGGAAAGCAGAATAAAGTATTTGCCTCGTCACAACCACAGAGCCATTCACATTTCTGATAAACACTCATGTTAAACTGGCGTGTATATTCTTTGTTCCTGCTTGTACTGTTCTGTTGAATGGATAAAACTGGTGTAGGTCTTCCTCTTGCTTTGATTTCAGTCTTTTCATTTAATGTCAGCTGGGAAAAGTTGATGTTTTGCAAATACTTCACTCGATTTTCCATCGTCAAAGGGTAATTAAAGAAAGCACGATTTAACCACACCGTCCACACGTTGTACGAGACTGAGCTGCTTCAAGTGCAGCTCATTGTGCGGCGGCGGCGCCAATTAATAACAGACATGAATCGTACAGCATTGACAGCAACTATGAAAGTAACTTAAATTTTGGTCTGATTTTAATGAAAATTCACTTAGCAACGTATTGAAAATAATTAAATAACATATAAAATGATATATTTGTTGGTAGTGTATTATTCAGCTGTCTCTCTAAAGGAATCATACGCCTGGCAGTGAGTGTCTGGGGGGGACTGCAGCTCTGCAGCCCTATGCACGAGCCGCCACTGTGACTGTGTATTGTAACGCGTGTATCCAAGAAATAATAGGGGAAGAAACTATTACTCCCTCATATAAGTGTAGATTTATATAAGCTTTTACTTGTATATTCTTAATTTCTTTCTACAAACCACTGATGATCCTGTTACCAACGCCTCTTCCCTTCCTGTCCACATATCCCTCCTCCTAGAGACAGGCCTGCCACTTGACATTATTAGAGATCTGCCACGCTTTGCCATAAACAGATAAATTGTCCAGGGAATTTTCCCCCCATACACTTTATTTTTATTCTTATTTTTTCGCC